CTCTCTTTTGGTCATGTGAGGTCCAAGACAAAGGACAGTGAAATTTGAACTTTTCTTTTGGGACAAGTTTAAGTGAGGAAGGGCAGCTTTAACATACACGCTGGCGCCCATCTCTTTCAGAATACTGTTTATATATCCAGGTTCCCTAAATGAATTTTATCTTGTTAGCACAGGATGTCTTGAAGAACTCTAGCAATGCTCCCAGTTGTTTCTTTTCCCCATATTTAAGATCATTAACTTTATGCATGCCCATTGGCTACATACTTGTTTCTTGTATGGCTGATGGTTTGTACACTGGTATAAGTTCCTGGATTACCACTGAACTATGGCATGCAAGTTAGAACACTTAAAACAATTCGTAATGTTGTGTAAATCCTTCAGATTTCTTCAAGCTCCTAGATTACAGATGCAAATCAACTATATGTTCTGTAGTATATATTGCACAAACTCATCATTAGTATTGTACTGTCAATACCTGGACTATTCTTAAAATGGGTTGCTGTTTCTTGGGCTGTATGGCCATGTTCCAGCAGCATTCTCTCCTAACATTTCACCTGCATCTGTGGCTGGCAAGCCATCAATTTCTTTCTAGGAGAGTATGGATTTAGAAGTATTTACCCATTTTTTTCTAAACAGGGCAGGAAGATCCTGGTGGTCCAACATGCAGTTTTCTTCCCACATCCGGACTAGTACTTTAACATCCAAAGGGACTTATGGGCCACAGAAAGTCCGATACAGGAAATGTGCATGGATAGTCTACAACTAGGTAAAATTCTTATTAGTTTGGGGGAATCTGACCCATGAGGGCACGACAACACTATTTTCTGTGTAGGTAACATTTTTAAAAGCAATTTATTGGAAAGGCTAGAAATGGCTTTCAGTAACAATCCAAGCAAGAAAGGGCCATGGGTGAGTGAAATATGCTACATGTACGAGGATATGGAGTCATCTCCAGTTTAAAAATCTCAAGGGGCATAATTCCAAATTGGATCATATAAAAAAATGTCAAGCCAAATTCACAATTTTCTTGCCATAATTAGGCTATTGGACAATAAAATAGTAATAACTCTACTGCACAGACATTTGTGATTCACAAAATTTCTACTTTGGTGCAAATCAAAACAGCTGGTTGGGTTCTTGTTTGTTTTTCAGGTTGTATGGCCATGTTCCAGTAGCATTCTCTCCTGATATTTCACCTGCACCTACGGCTGGTTAGCAGCAGGTTACTTCTTCTAGCCAAAGCAGTTCAGCAAATAAAATTATTTGTTGTGATGTTAAATTATTACATTGTTAGTTGCAGCTTCCTTTTATTTTTATGCTGGGAACAAAATGCTGGTAATGTACAAGTATACCAGTACTATATAAAGTGCAACCGGGGAAAACGATGAGAACATCCATGTTGCCATTGACAAATATGTTCAATTACATGTTCAATTAGTGAATGCAATATAAGGTGCTGAAATACACCAGTTATAGTTCTATACACGGCTGTAGGAATAAACCTTTTACGTATCACTCCAAATCATTCTATGTTAACGTGGATGACAATTCAGCTCCCATCAAACAAATGCTAGGATCCCAATCCGTTTGCAGGTACCTAATCTGCATATGAGAACCAGGATAGATTACTGGTTGAGCATTAAGATCTGTTGACTCAGGTGACCAGGGTTCAAATCCCCACAATGTGATCTTGGGTAAGTCACACACTGGCAGTCTTAGGGCAGCAATAGCAACCCCCCTCTAAAGAAATCATTCCAATAAAACCTTGTGATAGGTGCATCTTCAGGTCCCAGTTATCAGAAGCAACTGGAAGACACACAATACACGTGTGCCTAAAAACACCAGCTTCTACCTACTTTATGAAACTAAGCAGGGTCAGCCCAGGTTAGTACTTAGGCAGGAGTCCACCAACAAATCCCCATGTACTATACAGGCTGTTTTAAGAAAACGCACTAGCAAAAAACAACCCTCAGTACTTAAGACAACCCTATGAAACTCAGGGGATTACCATAAGGCAATACAGAGATCAAACATCAGCACAAGTATGTTTTCAAGAAAGTATTCAACTTAATCACAGACCCAATCTTTTTAGTATATATGTTTAAATTGTATAATGCAGAAAGTCTACCTCTTATTTAACACAATTAACATCCTTATTAACATTATACCTTTCAGTATTTTAGCATACACTTTCACTTTTTCTTTAAATATTTACCTTACAATTACGTTCCAAAGTATGCTACTAGTTCAAATACTTGGAAGCATTATGTGCAATAAGGTTGGCTTTAATATATAGCAATTCTATAAAACTTCCCAAGAGACTCCATCATTAACAGTAGTGCTCACATGGTTTCTCGATGAGTTAATCCAATTGTAATTTGATCTTTCTCTTTTCGTATTACCTTACTGTCCATTGTATTTTCAAATAAGTCATGGCATGTCCAAAGGACTATAGCTTGTTCAGTCATTTTGGTTCCAAGTAGTTACCGTAGATTTGGTTCTGGACTTTTTGTCTTCCAGCACATTTTAAATGTACTGAAAGATACATAATCCAAATTCCATGCTGGAAATAAGACTGAACCTCAAATTCTGCAGTTCAGTAAGCGAAGACACCTACCAACTACTCAGACTCAACCTTCTGAAAACACAGATCATTACAGAAAAGCTTCACTTTACAATACAATTCAGTCGGTCATATTCACTGGATTGCCCCCGGTGGCACAATGGGTTAAACCCATGTGACAGCAGGACTACTGACCGAAAGGTTAGCAGTTCGAATCTGGGGAGTGGGGCAAACTCCCATCTGTCAGCTCCAGCTTCCCATGTAGGGGCATGAGAGAAGCCTCTCACAGGATGGTAAAACATCCAGGTGTTCCCTGGGCAACATCCCCACAGATGGCCAGTTCTCTCACACCAGGCGCGACTTGCAATTTCTCTCAAAAAAAGGACCTTAGGACTATTTGGGAATAAATCCTACTGAATTCACTATAACAGAATCCCAACAGAATAGAATCTCCCTACACACATATATAACACTAAAGGAATGCCATGAGTTGTTTTTCATTAAAGAAGTTTATGAGTCCACTGCACAGCAAACTAAAAGTTGTCACTATGGTAGTAGAAACAGTATTTTTAGCAATTATACAGAAATTATGGAATGCTTAAGACTACTTTTGAAACGATATTATATTTTAGATTTAACAATGGGTATTAAAGCCTTTGAGGGAATTTTGAAGATGCACTTGAGATACCTCAGACTTAAGAAATGTAAGTGTAGAAGCCTGCCAGAAAATACCTTCAAAATTGAAGGATATTCTTTTCTCGTTTTTGGTATAGGAAAGTCCACAAGGATGTATCACTGCTCTTATTTATTAAATGTGTTTGGCGGCACTTTGGAATAACGGGAGACACAGATTGCTTTAAGACCAGGAAGAAATGAAAAACTCCATCAATTCACAATACTTGTTTATTTAAAACTTTAGGTTAGACAAGTTGCTTTATATGACAGAAAGTACTCATTTGGCAAGAACAGTGAATAGTCACTGGCAAGTCAGAAACACTAAAGAGTATACAAAACACAAAATGCAGCCTACTTCATGAAATTAAAATTGCTCTTGGTGAACTCTATATTAACATCATTCCACTGCAGTTGTATGAAGTTGTTCCACATCGGCTGGGAAGGAAACTCGGCACGTTCTTCCAGGTTCTAGACCCACCAACCTCAACAGGCCGGGACAAGTGCAATACTACAGACACATAGACAGCATTGCAACCAATCCCAACCTGTGTAGAAAGGGGTACGATTTATCAAATTTTCATTGAATTTCACTGCCACAGTCAGTTTTGCATGGATTTGCACAGCAACACATTATACAGCTGGATGCAAACCTGCAAAACTAACCAGAGAACAGTGCTCAACTGACACGAAAAGGGATACATGAAAGACAGACCAAACTGATGCTCTACAGCTAGCAGTACTTTAAGTGCTCTTAATGCAGTAGATTATTAATCACTACCTGCACTATAAGCACTTTAGTACTACAGGAGCTGTTCCGACTGAGCATTCTGGACACAGACAGGTCAACCTAAAAGCAAAGTCATTAAAAGCTTGTAATGCAGACAATAACAGGCCACAATCAGTTTTGCATAGATTTGCACAACTACATTCTTCTTGTAGTGCAACTATGCAAAACTAACAGAGGACTGCAAAACATTAGGTTTTAGGCTCAATATAAGTGATTGGGTGAAAACACAACTTCTTATGCCAGAAGGAGCACTTAGGGCAGTAGATGCTAATCTACTTCACTATCTGCACTAGATGCACCTTAGAACAAAAAGCAGTCACTATGCAGGAGTGGCAGAAGAGTAATTTTCCAAACCTTTTGAGGCAGTTGCCAGCATAATGCTACAAGTGCCTTCACTGCAGTAGGTTCTACTTATCACTACCTGCACTGTAAGCACTTTGACATTACTCTGACATGAATTAATTCTTCGCAGCTTATCACTGTTTCCACCTGGTAAAAGAAAACAAGCTCTCATTAATTTGTACTGTAAATGATTCTCCAAATAGATATGCAATTATATTTATAGAAAAGATTACACTTCTTCCTGCCTGTTCTCTAACTACTGACCTAGCAAGACACCAAAATTACTGAAATGTAATTGTATGCGAAAAACATGCATTCAACTAGAAAGAACTGGCAAGTATCTTTTAAAATTAAGAACACTTAAATCCCAACCGCGAATATTAAAAATAAGTTGTGGAAAGTTTCCTTATAAATTTATCTAATCTTATTTAAATGAAATCATGTGTACACTTCTTAAGGACTGCAACTAATCAATGTATTATTTACTGATAGCAGCTGCTTAAAGATAATTTTTTATTTACTTATTTTCCATATTTGCACCACACCCTTTTCACCCCTTAGGGGACTCAGGGTGGTCTTAAAACAGGCAACGTTAAAGCTAAAGTCAACCTTAATACTTAAGTTTTTAGAATCTTCAAACAAGTCTTCGGGACAACAAAGCCTTGAAACTGTTGGGAGTGTGATGCAAAACACAAGCTTCATCACACGTAGTTTTGTTATGTACTCAATCAAAAATGTTTAGGCTACATTATTCCCCCTTAACATGACTTCCATAAACCTAAAGTTTTTAAAAAACTCTCCCTGTAAATACAAACACACACCCAAAACTTTTTCAGCTTCTCTAGGAACAACTCATATACTTACTGTTTGTTGACAGACCTGTAACTTGTTCCTATCTGAGCCAAACACTTTATGAGTTGTTGTTTGCCATTATGTGGAAAGATCAACTTACCCCTGCGCACAAAAGCCGCGTTGCTCTTCAGGACCAGCCCACGCCTTCTTTTTGTTTTGTTCTGTGGAGAGAAAATAGATAGAGCCACCTTTAAACCATGAAAAGGGGGAGAAAGGAGGGAGGAGGCACAGTTCTTCCAGCCTCTGACGAACAAGGACCGAGCCCTCCTTCCGCAGCCGAGCCTGCTTTGCCCGGGGAACGGCAAGAGCGAGTGGCGGGAAGCCGAGGGGGAACACAATGGCGCCCCCGAGCCGGGCCCGCGGCTTCTCCAGAGCAGCACGTGCTGAGCCCCGGAGCCCACTGGCCAGTCCCGGGCGCCAGGGGGCGCTGCCGCGGAGGCGGGAGGGAGGGAAGATGGGAGGGAGGGAAGGAGGTCAGAGCTCGGCTACTGGAGCAGCGGCGCACTCCCCTCGCCGCGCTTTGCCTCTGCTCTGGGCCAGGCCCGGCCCCCTTCCTTCCGCTCCGTTTCCCGCCCGAGACCCGGCGCCCGGCCGCCGCTGGGCCCCACCACTTTGTTTCCCCCGCGGCCGGCGGCGTCTCCCACATGGCCGCGGCCTAGCGCCGAACAATCGGCCTCCGCACGCGCAGCCGCCATGTCCCGGCCCCGCCCCCCTCGGCAACATGGCGCCGCCGCGGCCCCGCAGCCTCCGCCGGCGACTTCGCAGTTGAAAGCGCGGCCCAGCGGAGGGAGACCACGGGGCCCTGCCCGACTCTTCGCCGCCGCCGAGGAGAGCGGGGCAGGAGAAGGCCGCGCCCCGCCTGCCAGCCAGCGCCCCCGGCCCTGCCGAGCCCGCGCCGCCCCCGCCCCTCCCAGAACAAAAGCCCACGCGGAGCGGCCCCGAGGGCCTCCCTCCCGACCCTTTAAAGTCCCGCTCGCCGCCGCCGCAAACTTTCTCCCACTCGGGCCCGTCCTGCCCCGCGTGGCCAGCTCGAACCCGCCCCCATCCCCACACACACCCCCCATGTGCCGCCGCCGACGCCGCTGCTTTTGTTCTGCGGAGTTGCTCTGAGTGGAGCGGCTCGGCCTGGCCAGGCCCCTCCCCCCCCTGCGCCCGCCACGCACCTTCTCCTCCGGGCGCCGGGCTCGTGCTTTCCTTCCAGCGCGAGACCAAGCGGGCGGCGGTTACCGCGGCCTTTTCAAATCTCCCTCATTCCGGCCCCGCCCGCCCCCCTGCGCGCGAGCTCCGTCGCCGCCGTTACGCGCCTCTCTCGCGCGCGCCGCCTCGCCTGCCATGCGCCCGCCCGCCCCTTTCCTTCCTTCCCTCCCTCTTCCTCTCCCCCCCCCCCCATACTCGCGAGCTCCGCAGCCGCCAAGCCCACCTCGCTCTCGTCACAGCCAACCTCAGGAAACTCCCGCCCGCCTGCCCGCCCCAACTCAACAACAGGAGCAGCGCTGAGCGCGCGCTCCTTCCTCACTCACCAGCGAACCACTGCCTCTTTCGCCGTCCTCTCCTGGAACCGCCTCTCCTCCTTCCTCCTCCCCCCTCCCTTCCCGCCCCCCAGTTGGGAGCGCGCGGGGAAGTGGCGGGAAGGCGAGCGCTGCTGCTGCGGCGGCGGTCCTGGCGACGGGGATGATGGCGGCCGCGGCACCAAGCGAGCGTGAGGGGGTGGGGTGGAGTGGAGCGAGGAAGCCAGCGAGGAGAAAACCATGTGGGCAAAAAAGAAAAGAAAAAAAAAAGAAATGAAGGGCGGTGGCTCCCGCCTCAACGTAAATATCCACAAGCCTCCGCTCCGCCCTCATTAGCATAGAAAACAAAGTGCTTCCGAGCGGCGCGGCGCCAATCAGGGCCAGGCCCCGCCCCCCGCCGCCCCAGGCCACGCCCCCGCGCCCCTCCTCTTACTACAGCTCGGGACTGCGCGCTCTCCTCCCCCCTCCCTCCCTCCCTGGCTGGGCTGCGAGTCCTCTCGAGGCGGAGGAGGAGAGAGTGGGCGGGGAGGGAGCCTTCCCCCTGTGGCAGTCCAGTCTTCCCAGTCCGCCTCTCTGGCCTCCCAAGCACCCGGCCTCGTAAACAAGTAACTAAAACCCCGAGGCTTTTAAACCGCTCGCTTCCCAATGGGCGTGAGGACCGTGAGGGGGTTTCCCGCCTCGCTCCCTCGAGGGCTGGGAGTTGGGTTTAGGCCTCCTTGCATCCCGCTGAGGAACTTGGCCAGAGCGAGCACGAGCCCGGTCGCCAAGGCTTAAGCGCAGCACCATCGGAGCGGGAAGTTTGGTTCACGTCGAAGCCCCGGAGTAGAGGGGGCGGGGGAGGGGGGGGCTTGTGCTTTCTCCGCCTTGTGTGGTTGTGCAGCGGCACTTTGGGTATCCCGCCCCTTCCAGCCGTGTCCCCTCACTCTCTTTGGGGGCTGTTTTTCTGGAGGAGGCTGGCCTTCTCCCTCCTTCGCAAAGCCACGGAGATCCTCTTCCTCTGGGTCCAAACAAAGTGCCCCTCAAAGTGTTGTCCGTTCGTCCCTCCCTCCTTTTCTCCCGCTTCACTTCGAAAGAGAGCCTCAGCCTCCTCCTCCTCTTCCTCCTTTATGACTGGAACACAATGAAGCACGTTTTCCAGGGATGGAGACCGCGCTCGCAGAGTGGCCACTTCCTTCCCTTGAGAAGTGGGGGACACTTCCCCCCCCCCATTTCATTCTTCTTCAAACCCTAAGTTGTTTCAAAGCCCCTGAAGTTTATTATTATCTTCCTCCCTTTTATTGAGCAAACTGTTTTCTCTTTTGAATGTTTTTCGAAGTATCTTTATTTTGAAATTAGTTTTCCTAATTCGGGCAGATCGCCTAACTTGACTCTTAAACCCAAAATAATCGTGAAGTTGGACATTTTTAATTCTACTTTCAGTACAAAATTAAGAAGGGATGCTTGGATTGCAATATGAAAAAGTTCTTTGAGATTTCTCATGCTCTTTAAAATCGGTTGGAAAAACAGAAAAAAATAATGCAGCACCTCAAAAAAGCCTTTCCTTGTAAATAATGCCAAGTATTTCAAATGAGAGTGCAATGGACTTTATGCAATACTGTTTAGTTCTTTTACTTGCTTAACCTTTGAGAATGTCTAAGGTGTATCCATGTGTGGGTTGCTGTGAGTTTTACAGGTTGTATGGCCATGTTCCAGAAACATTCTCTTCTGATGTCAGAAGAGGCATGGGCAAACTTCGGCCCTCCAGGTGTTTTGTACTTCAACTCCCACAATTCCTAACAGCCTGCCATACAGCCTGGAAAACCCACAGCAACCCGGTGATTGCAGGCATGAAAGCCTTCAACAACACATACTCATTTATGATCTATTATGTTCAGGCAAATTACATTTTCTACACAAAAATAATGCAATTCCTGATGGGATTACTGACAAGGCATTTATTTGCTCATGGGATGTTAACACACTCAAAATACAGGAAGTGGAAATGCCTAGAAATGTAAATTGCACATTTAAATTTTAATGTAAAACTTGCCTGGTGTTTTTCTAGGCATTTCTGTTTCCCATTTCTGCCATGCATTTTGAAGATTATAAGCAAATAAATTCATAAATTGCCGAAGGCTTTCATGGCCGAAATTACTGGGTTGCTGTGAGTTTTCTGGGCTATGTAGCCATGTTTCAGATGCATTCTCTCCTGATGTTTCGCCCACATCTGTGGCAGGTATCCTCACAGGTTGTAAGGTTTGTTGTAAGCTATAGACGTGGGCGAAACATCAGGAGATAATGCTTACGGAACATGGCCATACAGCCCGGAAAACTCACAGCAACCCAATTCTTAAGTTGTTCAATCATAAAATGTTCACGCACAAAATATACATATGTCTCAATGCATATTTTATGTCATCCTTCTGAGTAAGAACTGATGAGCCTATCAACTTTTTTCTAGATGAGTAGATCACACCACATGTTCATGCCAAATCAGAAGTACCTTATGTTATCTATTTACTTACGAAGAGTAAAGAAGTTTTTTTAAACTACTTTTCTTGATGCTCCAAGAGGTTACGTATTTTTTCTGTGTTATATTTGAACCAGATTTGAGAGGAGGGCAGATATGTAAGGTTTGTGGTGTATCCATAACTGTAAATAGCATTTGTAGCAAGTTAATATAGAAAATAATTCTTTTTATATTTTTGAAGGAAAACTGCATTATTTTATGTGTTCCAAAGTCATTGAAATCCCTTTTTATAAAGCAATTAGAAAATATGGTTTATTGTGTACTAGAATATTTGCAATCTTTCCATGTTAAGGCTGGGATACAGATTGGAGCCCATTCACTCACAGAATTATAGCACAGTTATTCTACTTTTATTGTTCATGCAATATCCCATAGGATCCCGGGATTTGTAATTTAGGAAGAGAGATTTAGAATTCTTAGCCCGAGAGCTGTAATTCCTTGTCGATTTCAATATCCTAGTATTTTGTAGAATGTTGCTGTTGCAGCTAAAGTTGACTATAACACTCTCATTGTGTCATATGAAGAGATACCATAGGATAAATTGGAACTCCTTTGAAGCTGATGGTAGTGCTGTAACCCGTAAATGCTCGACCCATTTCTAGATTCCTGCTCATAACCAAGGTTATGATTTCCAACTTCAGAAAGGGACACCTAAGGGTTTTTGGGAGATGTGGCAGTGAAGGGAAGAAAACGCGGATGTGTTTCAAAATAGATTTAACTATTTAATCCTTTCCAGGGTATTTTTCCCACAAAAATGTGGTCAAATGACTTTTTTTCCTGGGGTAGAGGATGGGGAGGAAGTGTTCATGACCATGAGAGAGCTTATGGTGTACCAGAGCTTTTGAGACTGCAATTCTTCCCTGAGATTATTTTATAAACAGGTAGCTAAAATAGAAGCGTGAAAGTACTCATTTTTTTCTTTTTCTTGCATTTGACTCTTTTAAACTTCAAGTTCCCCAAACAAGAACATATATTGAAAAATTGGTAAATTCATGAAAGACACTAAGTGACATGAAATTCTACCTCATTTGCACTGTCCGAATTCAAGGTATTCCAAGGATGGAGAGGCCCATGATGCCACAAAACTGACTTTCAAAATGAAAAACAAATACACAAAAATTCAGCATCACAAATACACAAAAATTCAAAGCTGTATTTTGACTAAGACTTTTGAGAACTGCTGAAATCTGTGCATGGATGGACAAATGTAACAGTATCGGTGTTATCTTCTTCCACATTATTTTTTAAAAAAACATTTCCAAATGAGATACAGAGAAATGTAAATTCTTGTCATAAACAATATTTTCACCCATGTCTTTCTATCCACACTTACTTGGGAGAATTTCCCACTGAAGCTTTAAATTGGGTTATAAATTCATGGTCTGAGGTACACTTAAATATGATCATGTGTATGTCCTAACTACCCACACACAAAATATAATGTTTGGGGATGATTAAACTACTGATGTTTACTGAGAAGTAAGCTAGGATATATCTATCTATCTTTGAAGTCCCACAGAAATGTGGTTTATATATTCTTAAGCTGTGTGCATGATTCTGTTGTTAGTGTCATAAAAATTCCTGAAATAGGAACCAAATTCTGATAGTCAGTTTTTCTTCAGTCTGAATAAACATGTATAACTAAACTAATTAATTCAGCTTAAGTATATTAAACTAAGTAAGCAATGGGAGGGAACTTTTTCATATCGACTTAGAACTGAAGCTGGCAACTGGTTTTAACAGAGGTCACATTTTCCTTAGGGAAAGAACTGTTTAAACCCTGTTCTTCCAATATAAACACAAACCAGAGCTTTACCTTTCTTGATGCTCATCATTTTTTGACCCTTTGTCTTACTATTGTGTATAGACTGTGCCACATGAGATTTAGACTGTTGCTACAGCTGCATCATTCTGCTGCTGCCACACCACAGAAATCTAACTTGCAAGGGAGTAAGCTAGAGCACTCTTCCCTCTGAAATCAAGTATTTCATGGATTTCACATTGATTGTTGTTTCCTTTTTTTACGGAAGTGCCCTATGAAAGCACCGCTGAAATATGCATTGGTACATTCCAAATACAGTTTTACTCCTGCTGTTTGCAAGATAGAGGTCTAGGACTAAATGTTAGCTTGGACTTTTTATTATATTAGTGAGATGTTATTCTAATTTCAGACTGAACGTATTTCAAAGCATGATTATTTCAGAAGTGGTCAGTCCAAACTAGCAGAAATAAAATAACGATTGGGATCAGTTTTTGGTTCTCTTTTGACAAACTTAGGATGCATATAGGATATATTATTTAAAACATTACAGCCATTTAAATCCTTTGCTTGTTTGTTTTTACATAAGCACCACAGTCCAGGAGATTTTTAGAATCCAGTAAATAGAGAGTAAGCAACAGACATTTTTGTGTGTGCTCTGATATTCTTTAGTTTTTGCTTCCCTTCAAAGAATTTGAAGTAATATATACACACGATTATTTATTAAATTCATGCACAATTTATGTCTCATGAATAACTTTAATTTGTGCAATGGAAGTTTTACCTTGGAATCCTTTGGAGCACAATGGACTACAGTGAGAAGAGGGAGACATCCTCAATGAACAACTGATAAATGCTGTTCCATTTAGAGAAGGACATCACTGGATAAAAACATATGACCTATAGGAGGAAATAACGACCATGAACAGTAGGACA